TTTGATTGATTGATTGTACTGCAGAGAGTTAGTAAGGGCCAGAGGGCAATCTGGGGGAATTGGTTTTTCTCCCTCCACCATGCTGGTCTCAGGGATTGAATTTAGATCCTTGTGCTTGACAGCAAGCGCCTTTGCCTGCTGAACCACCTCTCAGACCCTCAGGTGGGTTCTTAAAGGAAGGAGAGCAAACGGAGATGAGGAAGTTGGTGGTTGTTGCTCAGTCAGGCCCCAGAGGTCTGTCTTCATGGTGTGAAGGGATTTTCTGTGGCTCCATTTCTCTAAAGACCGCTGCTCTTTCAGTAAGGGAAGTTCCAGAGGTTTCTTTCTGTGTCTGCTCAACTAAGAATATTTTCATCTTGCAGTATTCTAACCACTCTGCCCCAGGACAAGCATGGATGTCCTAGGGGGGGGGCTTTACCCTCTGTTGAGTCACTGAGTCGACGCTTAGGGTCATACCCTTGTGTGTGGGTTCTGGGCTGTGGAAGGTGACCTCAAGTGACCAGGGGATGGAGACTTCAAGGTTTAGGGCTGATGGATGATGGAGAATGAGAGAAAGGCAGGAAGTTGGCACCAGCCAGATATGGGGCTTCCCTTGAAAACGGGAAGGGGCCATGCATTTTTGTTATTATTGTTGTTTTAGATTTATTTATTTTCTTTTATGTGTCTGGGCATTTTGCCCGCTTGGATGTCTGTTCACCACATGTGTGTCTCATGCCCTAGAAGTTCAGAAGAGGTGTTGGATCCTCTGGAACTGGAATTATGAATGGTTGTGAGCTGCCAACTCAGTAGGTGCTGGGAACAGAACTCTGAGCCATCTCTCTAACCCGTGTTGTTGGTTTTTTTTTTTATTTGTTTGTTTGTTTTGCTTTTTGAGATAGGGTTTCTTTATGTAACAGCCCTGGCTGTCCTGGAACTTGCTCTGTAGACCAGGGTGCATGCCCAGCTTAGCCCCTACTGTTTTGAGAGCAGATCCTTGCTAAATAACTCAAGCTGCCATTTCTTTTCTTTCTTTCCCTTTTTGTTGTCCTGGAGAATTGATCCTTGAGTTTTGACAGAACTCTGACCCAGCTCCTTTTGTCTTGCTCTTTATCTCGAGACAGCCTCTTGCTAAGTTGCCCCGGCAAGCCCTGAGCTCACTCTTGAGTGCTGAGATTACAGCCTGAGCCACCACAGCTCATTCAAGGCTAGGAAGAGTCCTTTGGATGGATCATGAAGAGACTGTTCCTTTCTAAGGCCAGAGCACTTTTGAAACTAGCTCAGGGAGGCGTGATCTGGTAAACCCCTTGGAAGGTTTCCGAAGGATCCTTCTGGTTCAGAAGGATCTGGTAAACCTTCTCAGCTCAGGAGCTATAAGAGAATACCATTGGAGTGGTGGGGAAGGGATGAGAAGTTCTTTCTGGTGGTTAGGTCTGTGGGGGGGGGGGCAGTATCCAGCTACCATCCTTTCCCAGGCCCCCTGCACTTCCCCATATTTTACTGTTGGACAAAGTAGACCTGTGGCCCACCCTGGCTGTCTTGGAACATCCAATTTCTATGTCCTGAATTTTGACCCTTGACCCCCTAACCTAGCTAATGATGGCCAGGAATCATTGTCAGCTTCCCCTACAGACAATGCTCTGAAGGAATTCTTTGGTGACTGCTGTGTGGATAGCCTGGGTTTATTCTTTCTTCTCCCCCTTCTCTCTCATTTCTTCCTTCTCTGCTTCTTTCTTTCATCCCCCCTCCTGTCTTTTTGCTTACTTATTTTTAAGTTGGTATCTTTCTGTGTATCCTAGACTGTTCTTGAACTTAGTATGTGGTCCAGGCTGGCCTTGAACACTTGGTCCTCCTGCCACCCCTTCCCAAGTGCTGGGATTACAGGAATAGGATTACACTATGTCCAATTCAGATTCAGTGCCATAGGCTTGGCTGCTTGCTCACTGCTGCCTTGCCATATGGATAGGAATCACAGGGCCCGGGATGGCACAGCTGAGGCCAATGCTTGCCATGGGACCCAGCTTCCAGGACATGGGTGTTCACAGTACACACACAGGCTATGACTTATGGGATTGCCATACACACCTGCCACTGCCATCAGGCAAGCGGTTGTGTGGGGCTGTGACTTTGTTGAACAGAGGATGGCCAGCCAGACTTCCTGCCCCTGGAGGTGGGCAGATGGGCAGCAGACATCCTTGCCCTCCCATGGGACCCACAGCCCATCCTCTTCGTTGTGTGATCCTTTTATTTGGTTGGGATGCTGGAAGCACAGACAGCCCTGGGGAGACTTCATGGGTCCAGGTACACGGGTGTCACTTTACCTTTGCCTTGAAGCTCTGCCTACCCGAGCAGCCTTGTCTCTGCCAAGGTTAGCCTGGTGGGATCACGGAGGGTATCGGGTTGCCAGTACGGATGCTTTTATTGTGCTAGTACGTGGGGACTGGGGTGAGGGGTGAGATGGGGAGGAGTTGGAGCATATTCAGAGAGTGAGGCAGTTAGCATCATCCAAGGAGATCCTGTCCCCAGAGCAGTCAAGGCTGCAGAGAGTAGCAGACCTTTCATGCCAAGCCTGGCCTGCTTCGGGGTTAATTCTGCACTCACTGGGGTTATTTTAGAAAGATCCACAGCTACAGATGGTAGGCAGGGACTCCTCCATTCCTCTCTCACCTGACAGTAGGCTTTGGATGCCTGGTCTTTCTCTGTACCTTAGGTCCCTTTCCTTAGGGCGTCATCAAGTCTCAGTGCTAGGGGAGCCCTTTGAGCCCCTGAAACTAATGAGTAGTTATTTTCAGGATGTAGCGTTCACCTGCTGGGAGCCTGACATTCTCAAAGCTTCAGTCGGGCTGCACAGAAAAGCCTCAGGCCTCTGGGATAATCAGATTAATTGAAGACAGTGCAGAAGGACTTAGAGGTGGCAGAGGCCCAAGAGGCAGGACCACCTGTCCCATGCAGGCAACAGCCTGAGCATTTTACAGCTGGCTTGTTGGCCCCCTACTCATAGCCCTAGGAGGTCACATCTATTGGCTTGTTAACTCCCTACCCCTCCTTGGGAGGTGATATCCATTACCTTCTTGGAGGGGTTAAGCAGCCAGCTTGGAATCTATACAGCAACTAGGTGGCAGAGCCAGGCTTTAAACCAAGATCTGTGATTCCAAAGTTTGTTTCCTTCCTACCACTTCTGCTGTTGCAGAACTTGACAGGCAGTTGTGGAGAAGGGAGGAGGAAGATCCTGGGCTCCCAGCCTAATGTGCAGGGGGTGTGGGTGGGGGCTGAGTTCCATCCCCAGTAATACGCACACACACACACACACACACACACACACACACCACACACACCCCACATGAACCACTGCCTTGAAATGGGTTGCTTTTAACTTTTAGCAAAAAAAACAAAAACAAAAACAAAAACAAAAAAAACCACCACTCCAAAACCAAAACCAACCAAACAAATGAAAAAGTAGTGGACTTTGGGAGAGCGATAAAGGCATGGGACCAAAGAGAAGGCACAGGCAGCTTCAGGCTGTATTTCTTCGTTATCAGAACTGAAGGAGGTGGGATGCGGTTAGCATCTCATGAGTGGAGACCAAGGAGTCCCCTGAGTATCCTACAGTGCATGGGGCAGCTCCCCAGCCAGTATCAAGTTGTCCACAGTGGCAGGTAAAGTCCCTGCTCTAAGGTATTTGCCCCCACTGCTACATACAGGTATGGATGCTTTCTAAGCCTGAGAGGAAACAGCTCTCACCCCAATAGAAGGCACAGCACAGATGCTGCCTGCACCCAGCAAGAGAATCACGTTAGCAAAGAGCGGAGCGGGGCCTCCTGAGCACATTCACACGTGACATTCCACTTTATCCAAAGGAGACTCCAGACATCCTATTTCCAGGGCAGTGGCTCCCAAAATAGAAGTTCATTTTAATCTAACAGATGCCATTGATTAAATCCAGGCTCCCGAACTGGACATTTGTCCCTCTTCGTTCTCCATAGAGATGGACAGTGGCTCCCAAAACTGAGTTCAGGAGGCAAGAAATGTTGCACTTCGGGCTTGCCAGGCCTCCTCGTGCCTCTGTTTATATGCATGCAGGCGGGCCTGCCTGGGACATCAAGGCCGCTGTGTTTCCTAAGTAGGTTGTGGGGGAATAAATGCTGAACGTTGTAGA